ATTTTTTAAATGTGCTCATTTTTTCATTAGATGGAATGCTGATTGATCGATGGACCGGACTGACTTAAGCTTGTCCTACTTGAACTAAAACTAAGAACCATTTCACTACTAATTAGTAGGACAGACGGTTTCCCTATTAAGAGGATCAACCTCATTTTCTGAACTTAAAATGGATCCTATATATTATTACTTTATTTGTCCAACTGCGTGAAGACTGGAATGTGTAACCTAAATAGAAGAGAAGTAGCAAAATTTACCTAATACAGAACATTAAAATGCGTAGTAGCAATTTACCTGGCACAGGTAGGGGCGGAAATCTCTTGGGTTCTCTTGAACAAGATTTTTTAATTTCTCCAAAGCCTCCTGTAGATCTCCCTGAAACAAGAATGATCAAAACATAAGAAGACCCAAAAATAAAATGCTTAACCCCACATTCATCTTATTTTGTGCAAAAGTTTTCTTTTCAGTGGTCTACTATTTCATAATCATGGTATTATTACCTTTATTACATGCATCTGTGCAATCAATATCTTTATATTTCTTTCCTCATTGACTCTCTTTTCTCGACAAGCCACTTCAAGAGCACCATTCAGCATCTCAAATACAGCAGGGCCTTCCTGGTTCTTGTGCATAACCATTGCTAGACCCTGCAGCAGAAAATAGAGTAAAACACCAAAAACTAGGTAGTTGGACAGCATGATTATCTGGGTAGTTAAGACAAGAATCCAATTGTTATCTGGATAGCATGATTATTTCAGGATGATCAAGAATGTTTAAAGGACAAGCTATTCTATCATATACACATCATTCAATAAAGAGTGCACACTGAATTCATATTGAAATGGGGAAAAAAGAGTTACAAGTTCAAGCAATATGATAGTCCATTCGAAGTGCTTTTTTTGTTACATGCAGTGGCGTATCCAGGAATGGAAGTGAGTGGGGGCGAATTCATACTACTTTCTTCGTCTCATAAAATTTTTATCACTTGTTTTTTTGGGACATTCTCATTTCCCTTTTTGAAAAGTTTTGTGTGACTTACATTCATTTATATTTTTCTTACTCAATCAAAATCATACATTTCAACTTTATTCTCACTTTTTTAGAATCCGATCCACATCAAACCGGGAAGATTTTCTGAGCTGGATGGAGTATATATTATTTCATGTATGTCACAAGCACTTGAACACTTTACAAAAATAATATAGAATTCATTATAAATAAAACTATCAGTCGGCAAAAAAAACATGAAACCATACTTAACAAATTTCAATATGTGAGAAATAAATTTGACACAATTTTTTTATTTTTTTGATGTTATTTAATAAAAAAAATTATTTTAAATAAGCTAGGGACATGTGGTGTGTATTTAAAATTAGTGTAAATTGTAAATTCAAAATTATATCTAAAAAAGAATTTATATTAAGTGTAAAATGTAATGAAGTATAGTTTAACTCTAAAATAATAGGAAAAATTGATAGTAATAATCCCAACTATTGGCGGTCCGCTCATAATAATCCCAACTATCGATTATTACAGAATAATCCCAACTTTAGGGACCTTCCGCCAATAATGGTCCCTATGAATAAATTCTTGTAGTTTCTAAAGTGGATGTGGTGAGATATAACAAGTAATCCTTATAAATAATCTCAATTTTTAATTTTTACGCTTAATTTCTATTTAAAATTCACTTTTTATAGAGGTAATATATGGTCATGGACCATTATTGGCGGATAGTCTATATAGTTGGGATTATACAAAAATAATCAATAATTGGGATTATTTTCAGCGGACCGGCAATAGTTGGGATTATTATTTTCCATTTTTCCAAAATAATAAAGTTTAACTATTAAAATGTGTAAATATACATTAAGTCACTTTACATTTGATTAAAAGTTTAAAAAAGAATACAAGGAAGAACATGGATGGGAATTTAAAATGGAGAACATCAAAATGGTTGGAGAGGAAGAACATGGATGGGAATTTAAAATGGAGAACATCAAAATGGTTGGAGAGGTTTCGAACCCTTGACCTAATGAACAAGTTGAGAACTATGCACACCCCTTTCCGCTGCACTACGTTTTTCTATCCTCATAAATAACGCAATTATAGTATATTTATCTATTTTCAGCATATGAATATATGTATATTAATTTTTTAAATATATATATATATGGGGGTTGGGTGGGGGTTGAGTGGGGGCAGCTGCCCCCCCTGCCCCCACGCTAGATACGCCACTGGTTACATGTACATGTTCATAGCATATATTTGATCACAGAGAGAACTATGAAAATGAGTTTCTTCAGGACACATCAGTGTAAAATGAAAATGGCAACCAAGTAATCAACGTCAAGTTAATGTAATTTTTTTGCAAAACAAGGAAAGAACAATAAGTTTCACAGACAAAATAAGATTATAAAAAAAAAGGAAATAACCAAGTGTTCTTACTTTGCTATAAGAACACATGTTTCGCTTATAACACAGTACTAAATTTACTTCAAAGTGCCAATGCACTTTTTTCTAAGAAATCAAATGTTCATGCAAATACAGCACAGAGCACAGCCAGGCATGTAAATCAGCATAGAGATTAACGAAGCATACGTGCAACGCTCTAAGTGATAAAGGGTTTTGCTTCAATATTTCCTTGAACAATCTCTTCGCCTTGCTTAATTGCCCCATAATCTCATAGCACAAAGCCTGCAACAGTCTCCACTCAATTTCCCTAGGTTGAACCTCAATCAACATCTCCACGTACTTCACAGCCTCCTTAGTCTTCCCTTTCTTCATCGTTATATTAATGATCATCTTCAAAGCCTCAACATTTTTGGGGTCCTTCTCCAGCAAATTCAAATACAACGTCTCCTCGGTTTCACCAACCTGGGCCTCCGTATTTTCCTCAGCGGCCTCAACCCCACTACTACTTTGTTGAATCGGCTGCGCCACTGCAGGCCTGACCTTTAAACTCCCCAATAAAATAAATGACCCGAATATGAAAATCGCTAATTTCTCGCTGAGAAGCTTGGAAATCCTCTCCTTGGGAGTTAACGAACAGTTTGCCAGTGCGGGTTTTGATGTGGGCAATGCTGAGCGGTGAAGCTCGGGTCGGATGCGAAGGATTTCAGGGCTGCGGGCTGAGTTGAGGGAGAAGAGTTTCAGAGAATTTCGGGAAATAATGGAGGAAAAACTTCGACTTTGGTTTGGGTTCGAGTGAAGATAGAGGGGCCATCGGGAGACAGAGGAAGAACACATTTCGTCAATTTGAATATCGAATTAGAAAACGATGGATTTAGGGGGTGTTTGGATCTGATTCTCAAAACTGATTCTGCTCCTTCAGGGAGCAGAATCAGAAGCTGGAGTGTTTGGGTGAAATTCCAGAAGCACTTCTGGAGCTCTAATTTACTCTCAGAATCAGTTTTTTTAGAAGTTGGGGGGTACCAGCTTCTGAAAACTGATTCTGATTCTGCTTCTGCTTTTAAAAAAGAAGCAGAAGCAGAATCAGTTCCAAACACCCCCTTAAAAGTAGCGTTATTATAGAATTACAGGGAAAGCATTGGGCCTCCAGATACTAGGATGATAACGGATACAACTCTACAATTTGTCCAAAAGGTTAATCCGGGCTCCCCAAACCGAGACTCTAACAATTTTAATGATAATGATGATACACCTTATATATATATACACGTGCGCACCAGAGGTCTAATCCAGCATATAGGATCTGTGACCTCCACACGATCGCTACGAGTTTCAATCCTTTATAGTTGCGGCTACAAATCTACACGAGTATATGACAATTGGCTTACTCCTTATTCCAACGTATTTGGAAATTTTTGTACCTAGAACCAGTGGCGGAGCAAAAAAAAAGGTCTGGTGGGGGGTCGAAAATCAACTTTATACAAAATGAAAACGGTGGATCTTTTTTAGACAATGTCTGAGTTAAATATTTCATATGTAGTTTAGATAAATAGGCACTCGTAGCAATAAGAGAGATTGTCTTTGCTCTATTTCGGAGTCATGTCACGTAAGTAATGAGTTAATTATACGTTATTTTTAAAATATGGGTGAAAATCATTATTACGCATCAAATTTTTCTGATTTTACTTTTAGATAGTGCTGATTTTGCAGAAGTCATGATTTTTTACTCGTAATGAGTTATGAAGGTCATAATGTATCAAATCGAAAATATTTCAGAGTTCTATACTCTCAAACTTTCAGCGAGGTCGACTGACCCCCTGGATCCACCCCTGCCTAGAAACTACTCCCTCCGTAACTTAAAAATCTTCCCACTTTCCTTTTTCGTCCGTAACACAAAAATCTTCCCATTTCTAAATCTTCCCATCATACCCTCAATAATTCTTAAAATAATACACTATTACAACTACTTTTTTTTGGATTTATCCTACATTCCACCACATTATTCCACTATTTTCCCATCATACCCTCAATAATTCATATCATCTTTCACTATTCTTAATCTACCTACTTTTGAAATGGGAAGATTCTAAAGTTACGGAGGGAGTATGTAACAAATATCTGACGCTTAATTCTAAATACAATATACTCTTTACTAAATAAAACTTCTAATTAAATTAAACTAGTGTAACACCCGGGGCATGTCCGGGTAGTGTTAATCTGATATGGGTCAGGTGACAAATTCTAATACGTTAAATTGACAATTATGATATAATATTTTGAGTTTTTCCTTTTTATATTTTACGTTAAATTCCAACAATGACACATGGAGATTAATTTTACATAAAGGCAAAGACTACTCTTTTTAGTCTAACTTTAACTCTCAATATATTATTAATGCCAATTAAATTAATATAAGCAGTCAACATGAGAAAGATTGTATATACGGATCTCAAGATTGATTGGCAAGATACAAACTCGTATAAGATATTAACCTTCACAAAAATGTGTGGGTAAGAATGATCAATTAATAAATGGTCCTTTTTAAGAGGCGGGACAACTGATCCTTTAATGAAATGCGTAAGACATGATATCTATCATTCATTTCATGAGAAGAAACTTACGTGCAATTAACATATAATAGACGTGCTTGCATTATATACATGTACATTGTTGCATGCATCCAGCCTGTATACAATACCATTAACAAGTCCCAAGTACTTCGAAAGTTCAAATTGATCGATCTCCATATATGTATTTATGATAAACCAAACTAAACTGACTAATAAAAAGGTAACAGTATGCATAGAAAGATATGAGAGCAACATCATATAATCCATAAAAAAATAAGATGAGGACGAGTTTGGTGAGAGAGAAAATAGAGTGGTCATGGAGTGGAGTGGGCTTTTCGTGGTTTGGATTAGGAGTAGTTCTGACAATTATCGTCAGTTGCACTGCCACCCAAACACCGAAAAATGGTTCGACTACCCCTGATGCCGCAAGCATTTGTGCCAATGCCATTTTAATCTACGGTTACCAATGCCAGGAATACTTGGTATGTAATACGAATTAAATTATATTACCCCTCCAATCTAACATATTTTCTAAAGATGTGTTGTTTGAGCCTTGTAGCATTGAGTTATGTCCTCTATGAGTCATGTAACTTTACTCACTTCTAAATCATGTCGTCTAACAAACTATCCACATACATTTTTTGTAAAAAAAAAAAGACCCAGAAAGTCATTGTCTGCGTCCAATTTTTTCACCAGAAATGGTATATTCCTGTGGAAAAGTACTTAATATGATCAAATTTATTAGTTACATGACTAGATCTGCAAGTGAGTAAAGGTGTAGTATTAAAAATTGACATGTGCATAAATGCGGGTCCAAATCAACAATTTTCTCAAAATTTTAAAAGAGTTAAAAAAAAATTTTTAGAAAATGTATAAATTAATTTGAATAGTTTTTAGAACAAACTGAAAATGATTTTGATGATGAGCACACTAACATGTCAATTAAGGAGTGTAGTGGTGACCTAATTTGTGATAAGGACCGTCATATAAAACAATGGACCAATTTTTTTTGATGTGGGTAGTACCCGGTGCAAGTCTGTCAAGTACTCCTTAGTAAGCATGTTGACATGTTCCATATGATTTTTCCATTTGAGTCACCATGATACAAAGGAGCCTAAATTGCAATTTTTGTAAAAGTTTGAGAATGTTAACAATTTTGAAAAAGTAAAATTGCCTTAAATGTCCAAAAAGGGGTGAAAGTAAAATGATATAGTGACAGTAAACTTGTACACATAAATATGGATTTTATTTTCAGGTAAACACCGGTGACGGGTACATATTGAGTGTGCAGAGAATACCCATAGGTCGCTCAGGTGGAGATGGACCTCGCCCTCCGGTGTTGTTGCAACATGGTCTTCTTTTAGTATGTGCTCTCATACTCATACTTTTTCTTAATTTTTTATGCATTTTACAACTTAATTAGAGTTCATCACCAAGTATCTTATTTATTACTATGTATTTGGAAATATATGAATCATCTTTAACTTTTATTATGTATAATTGTTTAAACTACTCATAATGTGAAACAGTTGAGATGAACTTCCACACACCAATTCTCTTATTCTATTATGTGTTTTAACTGTTACGAATAGGTTTCATTCTAAAATAATTAATATGTGTTAAATCTTATGTTATAAGTGGTCGCAACTTATATATTGTTTTGTATATCTTACTATCTATATAGGATGAAAAACTCAATGCATCCATAATATGATGCCTCGTTGGAGTAGAACAAATTTAAAATCTGCATGGATATTGTTGATCCGTATGGATGTTGTTGATCTTTATTGGGATCTAATTGCTTGATACTATTTAGTGACCCAAATTAATACTAGGACCATATAAGTGAGACATAGTTCATACAATAAATCATCTTGATAAGAATAATAATCCAAAACTTTAGAGGTTGATTTGTATATGACCATGATAAGATAGCTGATAGTTTAACATTATCTACAAGTTTTGAAGAGAGAAGATGTTTTAAATTTGGTGTAATATGTGTAATAGTTGAGTATCAAATTTAAGAAAAATAGACAATCTAATTGTATACAAAGTATATATTGGTTAAATATATGCAGGATGGCAGGTCATGGTTCTATAACAAGCCAGAAGAAAATCTTCCAATGATTCTGGCAGATAAAGGTTATGATGTGTGGATCTCAAATACCAGGGGAACCGAATATAGCAGAAGACATCTCTACCTTGATCCCAAACAAAAGGTACTATATATGAAAAATGATGAAATAACATGTGACATAAAACAATTTTTCAATAAAGATATGTCTGCATTTATTTTCATATACTTTGGAGTTGCATTGATAGGTGACAAGTATTTATTTAACGGTGAAAAGATAGATAGATTTTAATCATCTTAAATTTTGGACACATTATAATGTGATTTAAAAAGGTATTAAGCACGTTTCTTTCGGAAGACATAATACAAACTATAACATCAAACATTTAATTCTTAAATTAAATGTTTAACATTTGGACATTTCTAATCAATTTTACGGCGCCAAAGAGATAAGAAGCAACGAGAATAATATTATTCTCATATTCTTTAATCATAGGGATATTGGTACTGGACATGGGACCATTTGGCAGAATATGAAATCCCAGCTGTTATAAACTTTGTTTACAATGCCACGGGCCAGAAAATCCATTACATAGGGCACGCACTGGTACGTATTGAATTACATACCATTCTATATAATAGTACCTTTCCTCCTATTTAACTATCGTCCACCTTTTATTATGAATAAAAAAGAAAACATCAATTATATTAATAGTTATATTTATAATAATGTTCGTTAGATTCACATCATAAAAATATGAATTTATTGAGTAAATATTCCAAGAGATATGTGAATACTTATGAAATAAAATATTGATAAATCAATCAATTAATTTTGTAATGTGGCCCGCTCATGTATGATTATAAGATATTGATCAGATACATTGGTATACACAGTGCATAAGTATTATGAAAGATGGTATCATGGTACGTTAGTACGTTACCGTGTGCATTGTACTCTCTTACATCGGAATAATTTGTAAATAAGGTTATGTTTTGTTTAACTTTGTATAAAAACTATTTGTATAATTGATGTTATGTTTTTGTGTAATTGATGTTGTTAATGGTGTCAATATATATTCCTGATCAAATAAGAATAAGGCTTATTGTGTGAACGTGAGAACACCACATTTATCTCAACTGATGCACAATGAAGCTCATCTACTGTACTTTTTTACGCTTTCATAATATTTACCAAAATGCCGCGTTGTTTATTTAGTATGGGTTTAATTTTAGCAAATTTAAAATGTGCAATAAAAGAGCTCCATTGTGAACCACATTAATTCAAATGTGAGTGTTCTCACGTTAAGCATGGTTCTCATTGGAACTGCACACTATATATACACATATATAATGGATCAAATACAAACACCTCCTAGTTTACAAACTACAAAATCATCTTAGTCATCCGATGAGTTGATCTAAAAGCCATGGAGGCATTGTGGCATTTTTGTAATGAAACCATTTTTTGGGATATATATAACTCTTTGAACGTTAATATGCAACTGTTATTTCATGACAGAATAATGTGCAACACGGTGAACCTCAATATGCAATACACAGCGTTTAACGATGCACTGTAAAACGTTTTCACAATAAACACAACTGGACATGATCTGCCCCTATATATAGAGGGCAGATCATATCAGACCGGTCTAACGGGAACCACCGTCGGGCCGAGGCCATTTGGGGCATTTTCCGGTGAAATTGTTTGATGAAATTTTTTGAGCATGTTTTTCATCAAGCCTAATTTATGCCCACCTAATCTCAGATAAAAAATCATTCGAGAAGGGAATTAAATAATATTTTCACAAAAACTGCGCTTTATATATAAACAACGCAGTTTTTGTAAAGAATTTATTTAACTGCCTTCCTGATTGAATTGGAAGCTGGAATTTGGTGGACATCAACTAGAGATGATGAAGAAAATGCTAAAAAAAATCATCAAAACATTCCACCGGTAAGGGCCCCAATATGCCTCAACCAGATGATATATATACAGAATCAGGTTCAAATGAGAAAATGATCTTAGGAGAGAAATGAGAATGAATCTGGACCGTTTAGATTATATTCTGTGAAATTGAATGTGCAATAGGAGAAATTGAAGCGTGTAGCACAAAAGGTATGACACGGTGACATTATATTAAGCTAAATTGTGCATTAGGTGAAACTGAAATGTGTAGAATAAAAGCTACGATGTGGTGGCATTTTTGTACCTTTTATTCTGCATATTTTTTTTATTTCATGTCATTCAATTTAGCTTTTATCTTTTATTTTGCACATTTCAATTTCACCTAATGCACATTTTATTTTAACTCAATGCACAATTCAGTTTCATATAATACAATCCAACAGTCCAGATTCATTCTCACTTCTCTACTTGGAGTCCTTTATCTCCGGAACCCCCCCCCCTCTCTCTCTCTCTCTCTCTCTCTCTCTCTATATATATATATATATATATATATATATATATATATATATATATATATATATATATGGGAAAAGTATAGAAAAGGTACATGTGGTTTGAGCCGTTTTCAGATAGGGGCACGTGTTTCATTTTTTGACAAAGTGGAACATGTGTTTCAATTCCGTTATCACAGCAAGAGCATGGCGTTCAACGTCGTTAGAAATTCAAACCCCGATTTTCAAAAGTCTCTGAAACATTAAAATAAAAATACTGGGATGTGTGCCTGTCAAGGAGACCAACAAACCATCGTACTCTTTGAATTTATCGACTCTATTTGGATTATTTTTAAAAAATGAATTAGTTAACATCACTTTTCCGGCGGATTTTTTGGCGATATGGTGGCTGAAAATAAAAAAAAAAGATAGTTTGTTGGTCTCCTAGACGAGGCGCACCTCCCATGATTTTTCTTTTAATGTTTCAGACATTTTTGAAAATCGAGGTTTGATTTTCTAACGGCGTTAGACGGCATGTCCCTGCTGTGATAACGGAATTGAAACAAATGTCTCACTTTTGTCAAAAAATAAAACATGTGCCCCTATCTTAAAATAGCCCAAACCACAGATACATTTTCTGTACTTTTCCCTATATATATTATATATAAAGGGTTGAGATCACATACAAACTAGGCTTTTGGTGCAAATTACAAACTAATAACATCCTTTAGATTGGGCAATACGGACAACTGATACATATGAGGAGCATTATTAAAACGGTGCACTCAAACACATGAGATAAGAATAGATAATACTGTTTTACAGCTTTAGGCATTTAAAAGGTCACAAAGATAATTTTAGAAAACAAAAGCATCCCACTAAATAACAAAAACGGCGCAACACTTCCCACTAATCAATTAACCATCCAAATATTAATAATTTATACAAGGAAAGTGGCAGACAAGGTAACCCCTGGGTTTATGGTAGCCATAAATTGAAAAGTAACATACCTTTTTGTAATTAATAATCAATGTTAGCATTTACAAAATTAATCTCTTGATTCAAAGAATCAATCCGTCCTTAATAAACCTCTATTTTCGAAACCTAGCTCCCAATTTTGAATGAAAAAGTTAATATTTCAACACAAGTAAAAGTTTAATACTCCCTCCATCCCTTAAAGGTTTGCCAAGTTTGGCATGCACGTGGAATAATAAAGTATAAACTGTGTGGTAGAGATTTGTGCATAGGAGAGAGAAATAACATGAGCCACAAATTGATTGGTTAAAAGAGAAAGTGGCAAAGTTTTTGTAACAACCAAAAAAGGAAAGTTGATGAAGTTATAAGGGGCGGAGGGAGTATATATGAGCAATGCATATTAAGATCACAAAATATGCATTATATAACACACTATATATTCAGATTACGAGATTTGCATCATATATTCATAACGTCTGCATAAGTTACTTTTGAAACTCATATTTATAAAATATATCGAATTTGTGTTTCAGAAGTTCATCTATTGCATTTTTGTAAGATGACAAGTGGATTTAGAAATTCATATGCTATATCTTGTCATCGAGGCATTTGCATCGTATACTCAACTAACATGCATGCGAGAAGTAAACATACGTGCGAACGGCATATTAAGGCTGTGAGATATGCATTGTATATGTATAATTTCTGCATATGATAATATTTGTGAAAAAAAATCCTTTATTTGCTAAACCAATCACTTCATAATTATAATATCTACATATTAATTGTGCATGTGTTGCACTTTTACTCACAGTATATGATCATTATCTATATATTGGCTGTCATATTGAGCCAATTAAATTATTATGTTGCACATTGGAAGTCCATACGTTGCATTTCATCATTATGACATATGCATTCATTCTATATTCATTTTCAAAGTTCATATGTTGCATTGTATCATCATCACATGTGTATTTTTAGGAGTTCATATATTGTATTTCGGAAAGATGAAATGTGCATCTTATGAGACCATATGAATCATATGATGCATCTTATCATTACGATATTTGCATTCTAAACTCAATTTGCATGCATACAAAAATCGTGAGGTTTAAACGACTAGATGAATAATACATGAAAAAAATATTATAAATGACAAAAATACTACTATATCTTACATATTAAAGCTATAAGAATTTCACATAAGCATGAAATTGTGTGAAATGGCATGAAACGAAAATTGTTTCCTAAACATCAGAATGTTCAAAGTATTTGAGGCGTGGACACTGGATTCCATGGTAACAAATTAAAGATGACTACCTCATTATTTAAGTATGCTCATATGACAAAGCACTGATTTGAGAAGGAGATAACCATGTGAACAGTTTATTAAAAGGGAGTTCACTAAAATCACAATAACTTTGCATAAACACGAAGTTGTTGAATTGATATGAAAACCAAAACAAAAAAAAAATTGGCAAATCATTTCAATCGTATGTCGGAATCCATGGTGTTCGAGAACTAATGTTCTCCCTATGTGTGCGGAATCCATGGCGTTCAAATAGAAAAACATTAATCATATTCTATTAAATTTGAGGTGAAGATTGAGATAAAGATGGGGATGGAGATGGAGATGAAAAGAAGCTTTGATATCCTGGAATAATCACATATTGATGCACGAACCACGATCGATCGAAAAGTTGGAATGAAAGAAGAAACATAAAATAGGTGATTATGGGAATGGAGAAGGGGTGTGTTGATGGTGAACGTGGTAGGAGAAAAGGAAGTAACATATGCAATCAGTTATGAAAAGTTAGGGTGATTTTTTCCCCAAAATAATAAAAATAAAAGACCAATAAACCCCTCAATTAAGGAATCAATTGCATGGTAATCTAATTAAATTGGAGTGCTATGATTAGTTTGTAGGTAGGTAAATTAAGCCTAGTTTGTATTTGATCTCTAATCTACGCAAACACCCACCCACATAATGGATCAAATACAAGCATCTCCTAATATATAAACTACAAACTTATCCTAGCCATCCAATTGGTTGATCTAAATGCTATACAGTGACATTTTTGTAATAAAACCAAACTTTTTTAAGATGCAACTATTTGAACGTTAATATGAAACTGTTATTTCATGGCAGAATAATATTCAATACTTTGAACCTCAATATGCAATACAAAAAGTTTAAAGATGCATCGTACAAAAATTTGCACAATAAGCACAATTTGTACCTGGTGCCCCCACACACACAAGCAATGTGGAAGAGATGTTAATACCAATTTTTTATATTTGATGGAAATATGACATGTTACAATACGTCAATACATATGATATTACAAATATTTTAAAACATGTAATTAATTTGTAAGCTTTATATTGTTTATTGATACAAGATTTATATGATTGTTGTGAACAACTTTATAAAAATTTAAATTATGTGTGAAAATATTGAATTGCGATGTAGGGGTGGAGCTAGGGGCCTTGACGGGCCCCGAGCCACCTCAAATTTGAAGAAACATGTATTTCATATGTAAAAAATTATGTGTGAACATTTATCTGAGATTTCTTTTGTACCGGTGTAAGTCTAACTTGTGCTCCCGACTACGCATGTATGTGTTGCATGCATAAATGTAGGGCAGTTTGCTATGCTTGGCATCATTCGCAGAGGGAAACATGGGAATAGATAGAGTGAAGTCTGTAGCGTTTTTGAGCCCCACTGTTTACTCCAACCACATCACCTCTCCGATCATTAGTGTTGCTGTCAAATTGGGTCTTGCTGAGGTATATATACTACACATACAAACTTCTAAACGCAAACTAAATAAGTGTTATCTTTTTTTTTTAAATGATTTTTTTTTTCTCCTAAAAATTATAGGTTTAGATCCAACTCCGAAAAACACTTAATTATATGGTTATATTATACTCACTTCGTATTTATATAGTTGCAAGCTATTCAAGTTTTGAAAATATTTAAACACATGCAACACTTTACCTTCTCACATGTTTTTAGTTGAAAATATCTAAATATCCTCACTTTTTACTTTTCATCATCTATTTCAAACTTTTTCATCTTTGATCGCATACCTTAGCTTGTCAGCCTTCTCTCATACTTCTTATGATTTTCTACACAATTTACTATCATATTATTCCACTCTTAAACTCCATGAAGAATCCAATGTTGCAACTTATAAATAAAGCATGTGTTATTTGTTCAATTCTGACTGACATAAAGTTCATATATCTTCTAACAAGGATCTATTGCTCATATCTTATGAGAAGCATGTAGTATATATTATAATTAATACGGAGAATTTCTTAAAGATTAATGAATCACGTTTTTTTGTTAATTAATGTTCTACTTTGACCATTTTGGTCCGTAACTTATTTATAATTTACAACTCCAGAATTATGTATAACGATGTATAGTTGTATACAATGCACACGTGCTTATAAATTTAACATTATTTTTATTTGGATTTATATATGGTTCTTTTGTGTCTAATTCAATTCAATTCAATGTTCCCAGATGGGTGCACGTATTGGGCTTTATGAATTCAACGCGGATAGGTACCCATGCAATATACTCATGCATATTTTATACAACCTTTATTTATAACTCTTCTACCGCCATAATAGAGACAATATTCTTGTATTTACATAAACATAAACTGGTACGTACTAAGTGTTATCGAAGTAGCATATGTTAAAGTACTTCAACCATAAAATATTATGGAGTAATTAATAAATTACTTCATAAAATCTCATACTAATTTGGAATGACTTTTTGATGAAACCTATAGTTTTAACATGGTATGAGAACCAAGTACGATTGTTATTTGACTGTGCAGCACTCATGGTTCAAGGTAACTCACTTTGGGTTATTTGACCCATTTGCACACTCGATGTTGTTTGATCTAATAAACTACAAAGTACTATATAAGATACTACATACAATTTATCACATCGGAGTAACCTTGTAAAATGAAATCCCCGAGTCTTAATGGTTTTACATAAAAAATGCATGTTGCGTGTGTATATATAGCGCGATGAATTATATATATTAACCATTACCATTATGAATGAGAAATCTTCATTTTTTATGAAAGCTTACTTAATCACAGAAGTGTCACCACTCACCAAACTAAATACTTGGTATTCTATTGCTTTTTTTTAACTGTTAGCACTTTTAGAGTTATTATTAAATCTTAAATTCAGTGCATCATATTAATCTCAATTCTTATGTTAAGATCTTTACTAATATGTCCATAATTCAATAGTGTTTCTGAGGGGGGCGGGGAAATGAGAAGTTGTAATCATGATCTTTAATTTGAATAGTAGATGAAGGAGATCGTTTTTTATGCACGAGTGTGATCACAATATTGAAAAATTTGAAAATTTTGCATGAAAAAGTGCCTCATTGTATTTACATAGCCGTTCATCTCTGACGAAAGTGTAAGACAACTAATTGTAACTACCTACACATTCGTGAGTGGTGAAATAAGTTTACATTTAATCTCATTCTTCAATTAAAACAACTAGGGAATTGATATGGTAAAGAGTAACAAGTTCTTCCTAGTGGGATTTCTAAAAGCCAAAAGCTTATACACACACACACATACATATAAACGCGCACACTTATAGGGTCCAGTTTCAATCAAAAGCGGTCTTCCTGTACAACATGCGAATGACCCCACTTTTTATCATTGGAGTTGCACTATATATTGCATTCATATTATTTTCGTCATCCACTTTTAGTCATATACAGTACACTATAACATAGTGGATGTGCACTTTTTGCAATAAAGAAAAACTTTGATTTATCTATGAAAATGTCATTACTTATTTCATCTACTTTAATGCATTTTTGACATATCGAGAGCCATTAGATCATAAACTTGATGTTCAAATTCATTCCTACTTTTCACGGGAATGATTATTTATTTTTGATCCTATCAACAACAACAATGACTTTATTTTTATTATTAATGTTATAACAGTCAACCGGTGTCTCGCATCGTGAAATTATTGTGTTCTCAGCCAACAATTGTCTGCAGTGAGTTGCCAACTCCATTGACAGGTACGCTATAATGAAATGATCGTTACCTTCCTAACTATATTAATTATTACTCCCTCCCGCCCAAAATGTAAAGATACACGGGGCCAACTTTGATAGGGTTTTAATAGAATAAATGTCATTTTTGTTATTTTACCAATATAGACTTCCAAAAGTAAATGGTTAAATGATATCTTTCTTGTTCGTATTAATTTACATTAAGTATAAGATTTTTACGGACGTTAAATAAATAATACGTAGTACTAGTATAAAGTAATGAATATGGTAGGAAGAGAATGAAATAGAATGAGAATGAGTGGTGAAGTGATGTAAAGATAAAAAGAAAAACTGAAAAAGTAAGCACGGAACTGAAAAATGTTTGAAGAAACAGAATATGAAAAAGTGAGGTAAAAGTTTTCAAAAATAGAAATAGGTCAACTAATGAAAAGAAATCTCAAAAAGGAACTCAAGTAATTTATTCATAAATTAAGGGAGTAGATACAAAGATAAAACAGTAACCTTAATCCCCCCTCTTGATTTTGATGAATTAAGGGACAAGTTTTTTGAATTTTGATGGCCTATTTACCCCCTCTTAATTCCGTTATTTCCGTGTAAGTATTTATGTGTTTATTTGTTACTGAGCACATGTACATAATGTTAATATATGTAGGTAAAAACTGTTGCATCAATAAGATGGCTAAACAGCTATTCGCAAAGAATGGAATGGAACCCACGTCAATTAGAAACTTAAAGCATTTATCTCAGAGTAAGCGGTCTATATCGGCATTTACCATAAACATATTTTATTCCTAGACTTTTTATTCTCCACTTTTTCATTTTTGTAATGAGAGGCCATTACAACATTAATTTCATAATTATAAGATGATATAATGACTCGTTAGAGCAAAGAAATCTTGTAAGATATCCGTGAATATATTTGCGGGCATTGATTACAGATGTTCGACATGGTACTTTAGAAAAGTACGACTATGGGACAACAGAAGCGAATATGGAACATTACGGTGCAAAAAAACCGCCCCTGTATGACTTGAGCCACATTCCTAGGAACATGTCGGTGTTCATAAGTTACGGAGGCGCCGACAAGATGGCCGATCCCGATGACGTGAAAATTCTGGTGGAAGAGTTGAAGCCAGCCTTAGACGGAGATAAGTTGCGGGTTCTGTACATCCCTAACTATGCTCACTACGATTTCGTTATGGGACTCACTGCCAACCGTGATTTGTATGGCAACCTCACTGCCTTCATCGACCAGAACAAATAGCTACATCCATCTCAACCTACAGCTAGCAGTCGGTTAGCTAGCTTAATTAACTTGCTCGATCGCTAGCTATTTAAATAATTAAATGTATGTCAGGATTATAAATTGTTGATTACATATGTTAATCCATCATTATATCGTGTTGTATCATTAGCTACTTTTGTAATATCCACTGTAATGTTGTATTATAGCTACAAACAAATTGAACAAGGCAGATCCTACCTCAGATCCTACCTCAACAGTTATGTAAATATCTATCTTTGTCAATAACATGCCGAAATCTTCGTGCAAATAAAAGCCCTAATTAGACCATGTATAGGTTATTAAGTCTTGAAGTTCCATCCTAAAAAAATAACTTGATAGAGAGTAATCCAATTTATGTTGATTTGTATTTTTACACGCAAATGACGCAATTGTGTGGAACAACTTAATACGGGAAGTGTGACACCATGAAAGTAAGGAAAATTTTGTTATTAACACTACGTCAGTACGAAAATCAATAGATTTGACACTGGATAAATATAATTTCGTCATGAGCCATGCCAAATCTTAATTCACAGATTTGGCCTGAATACATTGTTCCTGAATACTTTGGATTAACAACTTTGTTATTCACAGATTTATACATTCGTTCCAAAGTCCTGCCAAAGTCCTTCTTAAGCCGTTTGTCCTGAATAAGTTTATATATAGACATCTTCCAAAAAAAAAAGTTTATACATAGACATGACAAAATATGTGGAAACTGGCAAACTGCATTAGCACTGCTATGTTGAAATTTCAATTCTAACATTGCGGGTGCACTTTAATTTGAATAACGAAATCCATTTCGTATAATATAGGAAATGATGATATGCTTTTGTATACATCTGAATAGAACCATATAATTATTTTTGTCATGTGTTTAATTCAGATAGAAAATATTTTTTTCCCTCATTCGTGCAATATGTTTTAACTGTATTTCAGACTACGATTTTCAAGATATGGTACTTTCTCATACCAAGCATTTTGACAATAATCTGTTAAATATGTTTAATTATATTTAATACTTTAATATACATACTTGATATATATATTTATTTAGAGATGAGTTGTATAACTATATTTAATATATACTCGCAATACTGCGTATTTATGTATATGAATGTATAAATAGGTATTAGATATAAATATACTCCTTATATATTTATGAGTATGAAGATATAAAATGAGATTAAAAGTAGTAGAGAGAAGAATGAGAATTGAGAAATTGATAATATAATAGAATGGATGTGTGAAAGAAATGATAGAAATTGAGGTTTTGAATTGAGTAAAATAATGAATTTAATATTATTATTGCGTTAGAGTATTGTCGATAAATCAAATCAGCCAATTTTTAAGTTCCGAAGCAAGAAAAGGAGTCATAACTCATAAGCACTCCTCATGCTTCCCGTCTTTTCCAAATCCCAACTCCCAAACTTACCCTAAAACTAATTCAGAAATCAAACATATTTAGCAGATTACAACCAAATACTGATATACAGAGATGCAATAAATTTTATTGCATTAGAACCTGGAAAACATGTAATTCAATTCACATTGTTTTAGAACAGCTTAACTTATTCAAAGATTAGAAACACCCAATCTCAAAAAAACTGTCAATTTCCAGAGGTGGAATACAATGAAAAATGGAAGATTGCGAGCAAAACTGCAGCAGATGAGTTGAAACATGAACAAGTCAAACATGTATGTACACCTCTCATTTGCAAAATTGTTTGATTGAATCGTTTTACTCACACCTCTCATTTGCAAAATTGTTTGATTGAACCGTTTCACTCACATATACTACTACGTACAAAACTAAACAAACCACCTGAAATGATTAAAAGGAAAATATGAGCATTTCAACTGAAATTTTTTCAACAGGAAAAATTAAGGTGATTCCTTCTCTTTGATTAAGTAAAATCATAATGAATCAACTCAGCCAAGACAAACAAAAAATTGGGAAGGGGAAACTCTACACCAACAGTCCTATTATTATACTAGTATGATTAATTTGAGAAAAAAACTTACTTGCAGTTGCGAACCCAAATTCAGATACCCTTCTTAACCTTTTGTCGCATGTATTTATAAATCCAGTCTCAACCTGCACATCCCAGTCCGTTCTAAATCCTACTTCCGCCTCGACCTGTAGATCTCATTGCCTTCCATTTTGGACGTTGCTGCTTAGCATCATGTATAACTCACATCATCATATGTGTTTGATGCTGCCGACTTACCGTTTGAACCAAGAATGGGGCAATTAGTAATAGCATTACAGTAGCAGAAGCAAACATTGGTCATTGAATCATTCCCGGTTGAATTCACTGCCTCCTCTTCAAAATCAAAGCATAATTGTGAATAAAATAAACTGAATAGTAAAAAATAAACAGGGTAGTGAAAGATAACCGTAATTGTTTTCAACATAAAACCAAAGTTGTTTTACACAACATTATGGTACATTAGACTGACCAGTGACCACACTATACAACTCATTTAAGCTTAGGTGTTACACAAAAAATTGTAATATTCCATATGTGTCATTACCCTCATTCATGCTTACAAACATTGAAACAAATTCATAACAAAACTGTGTTGTGAGAAGATATACAAACAGAGAATGACAAGGAATCTTCCAGCAAAATCTGTTTTCTTTTTACTTTCTTCAAAATGCATGAATGTTAGTCGCACACTCAACAGACACTGCACAGATTGACTTCATACAATGGAAACAACTCAGCTTGTTACTTTCCTTCTACTAAGAGGAAGCTGGTTTTCTCTCATGCTGAATAACTGCTCTAGGCACGAAAGTCAGGCCACGACTTTTAATACGACCAAAGCTAATAGATGAAGGAGAGTCGGAAGTGCTTAATTTTGAGACTGCTGAAACGAGTTTGTCCATTGTCTTGTCCTCCACGCTTGACTCATGCTGTTTTGATGTGTCCTTGTAGGATGATTCCTGCCGCCGTCGTTGGTCTTTGTGTCTCCTTTTCTTCTGTGAGGGATGTGCTTTTTTTAAAAACTCATATGAAGCCGGGAATTTATGCTTGTCAACCAGGTGCTGTTGCCGGAACTTGTAGCTATTCAGCTTAGCACCACAGCCTTCCACTAGACATTCATACTGCAATTTTTCAGATATACTTGCTTACAAAACTATCTTTAAAAATGTATGACGTGGTTTGAGCATGTGATATGACTTGGCAGTATGAGAAAACTTACCATAGCAAACCCACGAGCAACTTTTGCCTGGAAGAACGAATCATGAGTTTCAGATATATGTATACTTAGCAGACGTGATGTGGGGTAAACTCTTGAGCAGACTGAGCAAGATGCAGAGTGCCGTGAAATGTAGTGATCTTCAAAGTCATCCAAACACCTCAACCGTGAACCACACCCAATGATTGGGCATAGGACATCACTGTGCAAAACAATGGGATTCAGTGGTGCATTATCAAGAGTTTTTAACTACATTGTTACAAAAACCTTGCAAATTAAGTCATTTTTAGCAGTCAGTGATGGCAAATAGGTAAGAGCATGCAATCCATATAAATAGACAGATTTGTCGATGATGATAAGAGTAAATGATAATGCCTTGGCAGCATGCCTGTTTTCTTTCCAGACAGCTCGATCCTATATCAAACTGCCCTCTGTTAATGACTTAATGGTGTGATTAAAGCATAACTTCATGAGGAAAAAATAGGGTCCAAATTTCGTGCCAGAAAGATATTGTCAGTCAAATCTTAGATAGAATGGACCAAGGGGAGAGGCACAGAGGCCATGTTCAAATGATGGGTACTTAGCAATGTCTAACCAGCATAAAAAATTGTGGCACGTCATTAAACAATCACTCGTGTGATTAGATAATTAGACTATTAATGATTGAAAGTGTTTATATCTGAAAAAGCAAATGCAATTATACAAAAACACCATCTCTTTCAAAAGAATTACTTCCCAACTCAAAGTACATTAGAAGATTTCTAAATCCTAATTCATGACTTGACTTCTGATTATATGATGATGCTCAGTACCGAAGTGTATTCCCAATTAAACAATTTGTTTCCCTCGAGTTTATTTTTGTTAACTTTTTTTAAGATTCCATATAGTAGCCTTGTTTTAAGGCTTAAAAGTAACATATTTTATGATATGCTAATTTTTTCACTTCCGTTTATTAGTAAATAATGAAAATTTAAGGTTAGATGTAGATTTTTGAGTGAAAAATGAGAATTTGGTCCTCTTTTCGTGTTTTGCATTTTATTAATCAAAATATTTTAAATATGTTATTTTCATATTGCAGTCAGTAAGTTTAGCCATTTTTCATCCCAACTTCATTTCAAATTTCAGACACAATCACAAACATCCCCTTAGTATGAAGTAATTGAATAATTTGAAACCACCTGTTTACTCCATCATCTATATATCCGTTCACCTGCTCCTCTTTTCTGCTGAAATCCAATGCTACCTGGTTTAAAGAGGGGCATAATCGAGATGCCAAAACCTAAGTTAGTAATTTGAAACAATCTACGTAAAGATCAGAGCATCACAAGAAAGAGTAAAATGAAGCAACCTGTTTGGCCAGAAGTTGTCTTTCAATGTTACCAGCAGCGAAGAAAGGATCATCTGGAAGGTACCGCCTGCGAGAAGGACTCCAAAAAGGAAACCCCGGCTGGACCATTTCGACCTCCATCGCCATAGCGATTTTCTAACTGACACTCTGCAACTCCGTTGCACCCTTTTAATTGGATGTCCCCGTTTTAAATTTTTACCCTCTTGGCCTTTGGGGAAACTCGCCTAGCTTCGTGCGGGGCTGGCACTTTGGAACAAGAGCCAGAATCGGACAGGACTATTATTTGGTTTTTTTTCCAGTTTCTTTCGTTCCAATATTTATTAGAGCATCCACAATGGTGGTGGATTTTGACCCCAATCTCTCTCTTCCACATCACTTTTCTCCAAAAACTTAATCCTCTTTAACCTATCACAATTTCTCCCCACTATGGTGACCTAGGTCACATTTTAATTTTAAAACTCTCTCTCCTTATTTTAATATATCTCACCTTTATTAATTTATTTGAGATATTTTCTTTTGGACTGTTTTTCAGCCCCAGACCAAACCTGACCAGATCAGACAGACCAGACCTGACTTTTGTAATTATAAAATACACAGAGACTAGACGTTTACTATACCAGTTCAGACAGATCAGATCAAACCAGACCAGACCATCTAAACAGATAAAACCAGATGCAAGAGGGAAAGAAGTGCTAAATTTCGAAGTGAGTAAACATATCCTTCATTGGTGTCTATTTATAGATGGGAGAAAATCTGATTTTTTGATATAATTTTTTTTGTAAAATAAATTAATTTAATTCATAAAATATTAAATTAAAAGGTTGGTGGGATTTGTGGCTACAAATGTGGGAGAAGAAATCTCCCCTTCCTCCACCCAATACACCACCTCAGCAAACAAAAAAAGCCAACCTTGGACTTGCCCAGCATTTGTCAGAACTCATTTTTGACCTTTGGACTTGCCCGATCAAATGCTAACCTTCCATAGTGGGGTCAACTCCCACCACTTTGTTATTTTGATCCTACTTGACCACCCATTGTGGGTGCTCTTAGAGCATCTGCTATGGGTGGTCATTTGGGGATAAAAAAAAATCCCACTTGATTCTCACTATGGGAGGTCACTAGGTTGATCGATCAACATCGAAGCTCACATATGGGATCTGACAAAAAATTGGAGGAGGCATATGATTAACCAATTAAAAAATGCCATGTGGCTTTTTAATTTAGAATGAAGCCACCAACCTTATCAAACATCCCCACATTCTCTAATTTCATTTATTATTGATTAAATTTAATTTCATGTAAAAAAAGATTACACCAAAAAATTAGATATTTTTTTCTCTATAAATATAGACCAATGAAAAATATGCTTAGTCACTTCGAAATTTACCATTTCTTTCCCTCTTGCATTTTATTTTATCTGTTTTAGAATATTTTTTCCTCTAACTAGATCCAACTCCTTCTCTAACTAGATACAATCTCAACAATAAATTATAGTGAGTAAAATGTGAATTTTACATTCCTTTATCAAATTATATAAATTAATAATGGTAGAATATACCAAAATTATGGAGAGAGAATGCACAAATTTTAAGTGACCTAGGTCACCATAGTGGGGTGAAAGTATGATAGGTTAGAAGGAATTAAGTTTTTTGTGGAAAATGATGTGGAAGAGAGAGGAGGAGATCAATACTCATTGGCATTGTGGATGCTCTTACGGAGTGGTTATTTGGTCACCGGTTCCTAATTTTTAGTAACAGTCCAGATCTTAGTTCTCAAAAATTAAATTGTACTTGGAACCATTAAAAGGCGTTACATATAATAATTACGGAGTAACCTTATACGGAGTATATATTTTGTATTAGTATATATATTTTAATGTATATTTATTTATTTTTATATTACATAGACTATTTTAGTTTTTTTTGAAAGCCACCAACTATTTAGTTTAGTTATTTCAATATTTAACATTATTATTTATATTATATGATGGATACGGTTCTCTCTTCTCTCTTCTCTCTAGAAATAGAGAAACCTTAGCGACCGTCTCCTCTCTTTGTAAGGGTTGAGATTTTCCGCCGCTCCTATCAATATGGGGTTGGAGCGGCAGATTATGATGATTTTAAGTGTTCTAATGTTCGGGATTGCAACTACATCGAAGGAGATAGCGTCGGCGGATGAACGATGTGCGGCTTAGAGGTTGTATCAAGGCAGGATCGTGAAGCCTTGGACGGTCAATCTGACGGTGGTGGAGTTTGTATTCATCCATATTGTAAGAGCTCGTCCTCCTCTGGAACCATCTCCATACCAGAAAGAGCTTTGTGGAAGGATTTTATTTCAGTATCATTTTCTCTTTAGTAAGTCTTGTTTCTGTTTTAGTCCGAATAGATTTGATTTGAACGTTTGGATTTTTTGAGTTCTTTTGATAGGCAGGGTTTCGGTTTCGGTCGTTTAGGCCTAAATTTGCTCGTTTCAGGTTTAGCGAATCATGTTGCTTTGTATGAGGTGGCTGACTCTAAGTCTACTCCTCGGATTCACGATTGGATCTGTAATTTCTGTCTGGCGGTTGTATTGTATGTGTTCTCAATTTTAATACAACGGCCACTCTTTTATGATAAATAACATTATTATTTATTTTAAGGGATTCCTCTAAGGCTCTTAGGCCTCTTATTAGAGGCTTGGATGGTCGGAATTGAGTGCTCTGCTCGTGACCCATGAGATGAATGAATTTGTTTGTTGACTAATTACATTGTTGATTCAAGATCAGAATTATTTATTGTAGTGGATATGTTTTTTTTAAAAGGAAATTGTCTATATAAAAATCCAAGAAACAACCGACATTACAAACTTTTTAATACTATAAACAGTATCATGCTACCAGACTCTCCATAACCCGAAGGTCCCCTCACCCTCTAATTAGACATAGAAACGATCACCATGATTCGAGCATATCGAGTCGCTAACCTTGCGAGAGATTTGAAGATTAACTCGGTTTTTGAAGTCTTCTTACTTCTCTCCATAAAAAAACATACTCATCACAGATGTGTAACACACACAAGCCACAAAGAATCCTATATAAAAGACAAACTCAAAGATAAAATTATTAAATAGTCTCATCTTCATCGTCCATCTCCATATTGTCGTAAACCTATGCCAACCTCTCTACCTCATCTTGTGAGTTAATCGATCGCCTCCATCCCCAAGCCAAACTTGTACTGTCTCACAAGGGCCTGCTCGCACAGAAGAAAGCTCTCGCTCACAAGCGCCCGGCGCAGCAAACCTGCTCCTACCGATCGAGTGAAGGAATCTATTCCAAAGCCTTGCCTGAGAACACCCTTCCACCTCCCCTTATTCGTGATGAAAGGTCGCCATCAAGACCACCGCCCCTGTCAAAACTGTTCAAATCATACGCCTGACCCTAGGCTCCCATCCGTTGCATGTTGTTTTGTTTTATTTACTAAATTTTCAGATTGGTAAGTATCGATGTTTTAAACTCAACTTTAGAGATTTGAAATGATGATCAACATATTTGTAATTCTTGTAATTTCAAACGTTGAGTGTATTTTTGCATAAATTTAACGGTAATTTGCCAGAATTTTTTAAAATACTTGGAGTTGTTAAATGACAAAAGTCGAACCATTAAAAATGATTTGGTTCAATATCGATTTCATAAAAAAATTATGAAAACTGAACTGTTATTAAGATTTGATATCTTTGAAATGATCCCATCTATTTTGCATATGAAGAGAACGGATCCCATCTACTCATCTAGTATGCTTCGTGTGATAGCATAGTAGTTTCATATTTCATCGATATAAGGAGTGTTTGCGATTACTTGTGCTTTTTTAAAGTGGTTTTTTAAGAGATTTTTGGAAAAGTGATTTAAAGTAAAAGTAGATAGTGTTTGGAAATAGAAGTGATTTTTATTAAATTGTAAAAGTTGGAGTGTTTGATAAAAAAGTGATTTGAGATATAATATTTTAATAATTTACAAATACACCCTTGGAATTGGCCTTGTAAGACTACAAACACCCATCGTAATCGGTAAAGTGCGTCGTCGGCCGTCGCCCAAACCTTCAAGACCTGGAGAATCCCAAACCCCAAATAGAGAAACATGTCAGTGGTGAATTTCCAGACCTGCAATCAAACCCCAAGCTTCAAAACCTGCAATTCCAATTTCCAAGCTTCAAGACCCAAAGCAATCAAAATTCCGATTTCCATCAAAAACGCCGCCACGAAGAATACAGGAGTGTTGGCAATCAAACCCCAAGCTTCAAGACCTGCAATTCCGATTTTCAAGCTTCAAGACCGGCAGGAAAGCCATCAACGGGTACTCAGGCCTTGAGGTGGAACGTCGTCTCTGGTTTTGAGGCTCGCCGTCGTGGGGTAGCTTCTCCGGCTTGTCCATCTCCGGCAGTCCTGTTGCTCGCAGCTTCTCCATCGGAAGATGGTCCTTGCAATTATAGAAGGGAGAGGGACAACAAGGATTTGGTGCGGAAGAAGCTAAGGATATTTTGGGTTTTTGATGCCATTGGAGTTTGCTGTATTTACAAAAAAAAAAAACTAAAAGCAGTTAGAAGCAGCCAGACCCCAGCTTCCAGCTTTTAGATTAAAAGTGCTTTTTTTAATTAGAAGTTGGGATTACCAAACACTTCTTTTAGTTTTTTTTTAATCTAAAAGCCAAAAAGCACTTAATTTAAGCAATGGCAAACACACTCATAGAATCATACGGAGTACTCAGGACTAGATAGGAATATAGGATAGTGCTATGTGCACCAACTTTTCAGGTGAAAGAGACAAGTTTGCCCCCAACATTAGAAGACGTGCACTAGTTTAAGTTCAAAAATGAAGAAAAACCATGTGTACACTTTTTTATTGGGATAAGGCTCAAATTGGACACTATGGTTTCATCAGAATCTCATATTTGACATTAAGGATTCAAATGGATCAAATTAGACACTATGATTTCATATGTATCTCATATTGGACACTAAAGTTTCATAATTCATAGGTTTTGGACACTCACTTATATATTAGGTAAAGATCAAATTGGACACTCAATTATATTGAATTATGAAACTTTAGTGTCCAATATGAGATACCTATGAAACCATAGTGTCTAATTTGGTCCATTTAAAACCTTAGTGTCAAATATGAGATTTTAATGAAACCATGATGTCCAATTTGAACCTTATCCCCTTTTTTATATTCACGTTTTTATACACACTTCTTAAACACATCTGTCAACATGTTATTTTTATATAACTTGTTCAAAAAAATGTGTACAAAAAGAATTATTAAAAAATGAATTGTTTTGAAATAGGGGAAAATATTTTAAATACCCTAAACTTATAAGGTATGACGTAAATATGTCAAACTTGCATATCTATTATATATACTCCGAACATCATGTGAAAAAAATATTTTAACAGATCATATTTTTCTTCTTCCACAAATGTACTGTACTTTTATGTTGTTGAGTGCTCGTTCCTTAAAATTTTGTTAACTTTTCTTTTTTAGTTCTCACACTAACGATACCAATTTCCTTTTAATTAATGAATTTTTGATTCCTCTTAATTCATTTTCTTCTACACTAACTTCAACCACACGATTTTGACTTTATTATTAATTTATGTGTCATCTAACTTTGCCTATTTGCTGCTACCCATTTACTGCGGTCCAAAGTAAAACCGCAGC